TTAGAAACAGCTTCAAACATTAATGATGGTGAAGTTGCTATCCAAACCCAGGTATGGAAAGTAATCCTTTGTTTAAACCACTCATACATAATTTTTCGGTTCTAAGGTATCAAACCTCTTCTCCTAAATATAAATGATACAAATATCCAGATTAAGAGAATTTTAATAAAGAAGCAGGTTTATGAAGGACAGAGACATGCTTAACAAGCCAACAGGAAAAGGAGAGTCAACTGGTCAGGGAGAGACGTACGCACACAGCAGCTGGTAAGGTGAGAGAGACAAGAAAAGAGATGCAGTTAGCAGTTAGAGTCCCGCAGGAACCAGATCAAAAAGGACCTGGAATGACATGATAAAATGAATCAAGAACTTGAGGACAAAACACTGAAGAATTCAAACAAGGAGACAGCATGCTTAACTATGTATTTTAGAACGAGGGTGATAAATCAACAGCAACAGCGCTTACAAAAGCTACTACAGCCATTCAGGTGAGACGAAAGGTACCTATGGGAGTAGATCCTAGAAAATGACATGATGGAATTTTCTAGAGTGAATGGCAATGCCCTTTATCTTGACTGGGGTATTGGTTACTACTAGGGAATAAACATCTGTCAATATGTAAACTGTATACTTTCAATGTGTACATTTAATTGTTTCTAACCATATATCATATTTCATTTTATTTTAAAAAGGACTTGAAATACAGTAGGCAGAAGCAACGGGGAGGAAGGGACAATTAGAGGCCCTTAGGAAGACAGGATTAATTAAATGTGCCAAAGTCAGGGACAAGGAGTAGTCTAAGATGATGTTCAGTATCCAAGTTTGAATGACTAATGTTAAGGTGCCTGGGGTGGGGCCAAGGTGGGTGTTCGGGGTGCTAAGAAAAGGAAAAACAGAGGCTAAGAGTTTTAAGTTGTTATACACTGATTTCTGTAGCCTGGGAATTCTCAGGTAAGATGAAAAGTTTGGGCTTAAGGAATAGTTACCATACACTGTTAAGTCTCAGAGAGCATACACAAAAGTCACAGAAGAATGTCTGTCAACTTGGCAGGTGTGTGGGGGTGTGGGATAAAATTGGCATTTGACAGAACAATTCTTCATTGCGTGGCAACAGATCTTCCCTGCTTTCTGGATTTGGGGTAGAAGAGGGAATAGAATTAGCTTTACTTGAGAACCACTTGAGGACTAAAAAAACAATGTAAGGCACACACAGAACCCTGAGGAACACCACCATTAGAAGCCAGGTTCATGAAGGAGAGTGAGAAAGGCTACAAAAGTGAGAGCAATGCAGGGACAGCAGTCAGACCACAATCATGAGAAGGAATGTGAATGAAAAGCTAATAGTAAATGCCATGACGTTTCCCAACAGAGTTGGCTAAAAAGGGCTGAGGAGTGCCTGGTGGACTTAGCAATGAAAAAGTTACCAACCTGAGAGTAGACGGCTGATAAATAAATTACAGACTGCTCTGGACTTAGGAATAAATCGAAACGGAAGGAGTATCAAAGAGGCTGAAAGATAAACTAATGACAGGCAACACTAACTACTGTGGAGTCAGAAAATCACAACAGGATTTGTGTGTTGTCTGGATTCTTTACAGAGATGAGGGAGACCTAAGTATGTTTAAATGCCATGGTATGCAAGTAGTGGAAAGAAAAGAGGTGGAAGATATACAGGAAGGTTTAAGTGAGGCAGCCAAATCACAGAGGGCCTGGGAAGGGATGAGAACAAGAATAAAAAACGAAGACTAAAAGGGAGGATCAACATCATATCCTTTCAGGTAAGAGGTGAGAGGCTAAGTCTATAGAAACACATGAGTTTTTACAAAATTGATAAGCAGGAGGTATTTCATGAAGTCCCCACCAGAATGGACAGGATTTTTAAATGGTAAGTGTGGCATAGGGAGGAATAAGAAGAGAATAGCCACAGGGAGGAGTAAGAAGAGAAACTGACCAAATTCAGATACAAGAACTAACAAATAGCAGCCAATGTAAAGGGCCCAACTGATAATGACAACAACGAATTTGTAGTGGAACCAACTACACAGCTGCATAATTTTCTCCAGTTGTGCAACTACCTGTGACTGGAGTTCTTACAGCAAGTAAAGATACTCAAAAAAAAAAAAAAAAAAAAAAGTGCAACACACTGGTAAGAAAAGAACTCAAGGGGCTGGCGCTATGGCACAGTGGGTTGAGGCCCTGGCCTGAAGGCCGGCATCCCATATGGGCGACAGTTCTAGTCCCATCTGCTCCTCTTCCGATCCAGCTCTCTGCTATGGCCTGGGAAAGCAGTAGAAGATGGCTCAAGTCCTTGGGCCCCTGCACCTGTGTGGGAGACCCAGAAGCTCCTGGCTCCTAGCTTCAGATCAGCACAGCTCTGGCCGTTGCAGCCATCTGGGGAGTGAACCAGCGGATGGAAGACCTCTCTCCCTGTCTCTACCTTTCTCTGTAACTCTGTCTTTCAAATAAATAAAACAAATCTTTTTTGAAAAAAAAAAAAGGAAAGAACTCAGGAGCTCAACCAGAATCTGACAAAGTAGAAGGAAATGAAAATGTAGTTAGAGAAAATGTTTCAGAGGTACAGCAATTCCACATGATGGTCAGGTTCAGTCCTTAGCAAATGAAGTAATTTACAAAAGTCAAAAAAGTAGAGATGAGGAAGTAAGATAATTTCAACAACTGTGAATCGGGTGACAATTTCTCAATAAATGAAGGTCCTGGCCTACAAGCCATTATGTTATACTGACAGTAAAAAGTAGAGAATAATAAAGATGATTAAGTATCAAAGAAGAGGGATCTGTATATTAAGGTTACAATGGCCCCCTGAAATAATGAAGCATTTAAAAAGGAAGGAAGGGAAAGGAAAAAGAAAAATAAGAAAAAGCAAGAGAGCAGAGGACACACAGAAGAGAGAAAAAAAAAAAAGTGATCCTGGAGATACTAACGGAAGTGACAGAAAAAAGCTTCAACTTGGCAGGGGTGAAAGGGAAGCAGTGGCTTCAGGAAAGCAAAGATTCCAGTTGGGAACGTGAGATGGACTGAGCCTCCAAAAGGAGTGAATGCCTACTATCTGCCAACCCAAGAGCATTACATTTATATATATATAAATATATAAAATACATATATGCAAATCCTCCTGTGAGGCAAGAATTAATAGCATGGTTTTACAGATAAGTAAACTGAGGTATGGATTAAATATTTTTTTTCAAAGTTATGCTGTCAGCAAACTCATGTCTGTCCAGAATCACTGTGGACACTCCCTTTTTTATTGCATCATGCTTTGCTCAATTTCTTACATCATCTTTTATAGTTTCACTTTCTAGCCTCAGTACTCTATCCTCCTCAAATAATTTATTTTCACTTAACTGAGGAGAACACATTCCCCTAAATACAATACCTAATCCAGGCTCCTGACTCTCTGAATAAAATTCCATAAAAACTTATCTCATACCCTTAAAAATATTAACAAATAACTCTACATGACTTAATTTTTACGAGATACCCTCAGTACTCAAAAGAATCTTTTCTTGTTACATCTTTATACATGAGTTTTCCACTTGACTCTGTGGGTATGTCTGAGTAACTAGTTTACAGACTCCATTAGGACAAGGACTCTTCCTGGTATTTACTTTTCATTCCTCCATTATATAAAAGTAAAACTCCATTATATTAGGCACAGAGTGGATGGAGAGTGGGGTTCATAAATATCAGATTCACACACACACGTAATTTTTCAAAGTTTGTATGTATGTTATAAATATTTTTGTAATTATATGAAGTATCTGTAGTAAAGGTATAAAAAGTAGTAAAATAAAATATTAACACATAGAACCAAAGCACTATATGAAGAAGTGTCTAAAAGATAAATAAACACAGTCTTTAACTATAGGGAAGAATGTTACTAAACAAATTAGCCTTGAAATCACATGCAAATGACTATAAACATAATTCAAGATAAACAATGAAGATTTTTGTGGGTTTTTTTGCCACAATAAGTCAAGTTATAGGCTATTCTTCCTTTCTTTAGACAATCTCTTACATGAAATTTTTCAGAATAATCATATAATCAAAAGACCCTACATTGTTATAGTAATATATTTTCATTAAACAAAAGCATTGCTTAAGACTTCACAAGATAAATGCTTTCTAGTTAATTGTAAGCATTTATAATGCATACCACACAAGGTAAATGTCTTTCACCTGTGTCTTGCTCATCAATGACAAATTATATACATACACGTATTTAGTCATAAAACTGTACCAGAAAAGAACACAAAAATAAGATGAAATTTAAACATTAAAACTAACCAGAAGTGAGCACTGTTTATTGCTTTAAGTTAAAATGAGTATCTTTTTAAGTACGTATTTTAAGAGATGCTTCATATGAAAAAACAGAAAAGAAAACCATAATTACATCAATTTGAGAAATACTACAGATTATATGTCTTTTTTGTGATTTCTATTGCTAAGAAGTACTACTGCTTATGAAATCTAGTGTTTTCCAAACATTTTTGCCAGCTGAACTTTTTGTTGGGTACTATCTGCAAGCATCACTTGGGTAAATATTCATATTCACTCAAATGATTCTCTTCCTTATTTAAAGCTAAGAACGTTTGTCAACACAGTCTTCAAATGTGTATTTTATCACAAAAACATCTAAAATGATATATCAGTCAAGTAAAGCACAACCTGAAGAAGATAAGGATTAATAAACATCAATTCTTAAAAAAAACAAACTCATATCAGATACACTCTTGTGGCAATGCAGACTTGGCTAAAATGTAAGGTTGTCAGTCTATTAACAATGTGTACTACCTATGACTAATTCACAAAGAAATTCAAAAAAACGTTATTAACCTTCAAAGCAATACTTAAGTTTTAGTCTGCTCTTCCAATTACATTTAAGCCAATACAATTTAAAATATAATCCATAATACAAGTACTGATAGCATTGTATGCATAAGTAATTAATAATTAATTATATATGAAGTAATAATTTTACTTACCAAGTCATATATCTGGTTTGCCAACTGTACCTTCTCATCTGCATCTTCCAAAGCCTTATAGTAGTCCTGAATAAAAAATTTCAAACAATTAATCATTTTAAGATATATATATATGTAGGACATAAAACTGCATCTTCATTATTATACCTTGTTATCATTATCAGTCATCCTACCTTAGCAATAAAAACCCAATTACAGATGGGGTCGGGTGGGTAAGATTAGAAATTATGGAAAATGGCCAAGAATTAAAGTAAGATGTTCAGAATTCTTAGAAATACTACTCCATTTCTATCCTCTGTACTAGCAAAAGCTATGTGAGTTAATGAATAGTATTTAGAAGAAAAAAAGTTATTTATCGTATTTATAAAGAATAGTCACACTTCATTTTAAAAACTTTCTGGAAAAAGTATAATTATTGAATGGATCCTGATCTGCATGCCACTATTTTCCAATTGTCCTGTAACTACCATTTTAAATTCAGTATAACTTTTTACAGCTCAACCTATACTTTTAGATTTCTCAACATAAAGCAAAATTTCCTTTAAAAAAAAAAAAAAAAGGAAAACTAGACCTCTTTCCATGGGGTACCAGGCTTTCCGGGGTATTTATAAATTCCACTACACCAAAAACATGGTAGGTTAAAGGAACAATCACTGACTTTGGGATATATAGATGTGATGTCTATACTCACACACACCTGGGCCTCCAGGTAGCTTCCAAGACAGGACCATTTCTGTTATAGATTCTGAGGTTTTTTTTTGTTTGTTTGTGTTTTTCTCCTAACAGAAATAATCTTTCCTCCATGTGGTAAAATTAATAACACAACTATTCAATGTGTAGTTTCCAAATTTCTTTCTTAGTTGATCCTTGAACAATTTTATGAAAGTTGAGTGTAGGGAGGTATTTATTACTCAGCAATTACAAGACCTGTCCAATGTCATACAGCTAAATGGCGAGTCACGACCAAACCCAACTCTTTAAGTTGTTCTTCTGATCCCTAAATAAACTGTGTCGTACCTTTAAAGCAAACCTCTAAGTGAGAGCTGATGCCCATTGAATCTGGCAGAGAACTATAAGTACTATCAACTAATAAAAATCCAAAGAATTCTGCCTATCTAAATCCAATTACAAATTCAGTGCTTTAAACCCAAAGCCTTCTTTAGGATCCTTCCAACTATTAAGATTCTGCTCATCTGTGAGTCTATCAACTTTCAAGGTCTGCTGATTTCCACAGCAGGGTATAGCCAAAATTGGGATATAGTATTATATATCAAAAGACAGGGCAACTGTAATTATGTGTAACTAGGATAAAACAAGCAAAAAAGAACTTTTTAAGTGATTCTCTAACTAATAGTATAGAGAATGCTAACTAATAGAGAACTATTCTCTAATAGTCATTGATTATTGAAATCATTTTGTAAATTAACAAAATGTTACTTTATTGATTAAAAATCCCTATACCTGAAACTCTAAAGTACATAAATAATTTATTTAAATTCTAAAGAGCCACTGATAACTAACTATTCCTCATTCTGATATCAGGAAAACTCTTCAGTTTTGAGGTATCTTTTTCAGAGGGTCCTGGTATTTGTTAATGAATAATTTGAAGTGTTACACATACCTTTTTGATGGATGCCATTTGTTCTTCTCTCCACTCCGGCTTATTTTTCTTTGCATTCATAAAGAATTCACTGACTCTTTGTTCTAGTTGATCCATTGCATCTACAACATAATAAAAACATTCCCTATTTAGAAAACCACCATCATACATCAAATAGGCATGCTTTGTTTAGAGGAAAGAAAACAAATCTGACAATAAACACTGTTCCACTTGACCAATAACTTGAGTATGTTATGCTTCAGTTACATAAATACATAATGCTCACTTAACTTAATCTTTAAAAGTTACACATTTCCCTACTACTTATTTATGTTGTTTTTAATTTTTTCCAATAATTAAACTAGAATTAACAAAGTAGATCAGAGCTAAACCACAGTTTTTGAAGAGTACAGCCTCAGGGGGTTGGGACACAGTCAATGGCTAGCGGTATTTAATCAACTGAATGTGCCCAACCACAGTTACTCACAGAGACCACCACTAAAATATCCTCACATGGCTTTTCATAAGAAAATCAGTAAAAAGTTTTTAACAACTGGCTCAATGGCACTAAGCATTCCATCATTTCATATCAAAGCTGAAAGCAGTAAGTACAACCATTTAGCACTTCATACACGATATTATTTATTCTAAGTAAGTTTTTCCTGAAGTATATGCCTAGAATAATGAATAGTTTTTCCCAAAAAGAGGAAAAATAAAAAGATTTCCATTGCTAATTAGGTTGAGGAAAATCTCTGTACTATACTCATCTTTTGGAGATTGTCAGTGCATAATCAGCTTTTTAAAGATTGAGAAGTCCCATGGTTAATTTATAAAAAAGTATTTTCCTTTGGGGTGCTGTGACATAGTAGAGTAAGCCTCTCCCTGCAGCACTGGCATCCCATATGGGCACCGGTTCCTGTTCTGGCTGCTCCTCTTCTGATCCAGTTCCCTGCTAATGATCTGCGTGGGAGACCTGGAAGAAGTTCCCAGCTCCTGGCTTCAGATCTGCTCAGCTCCGGCCGTTGAGGCCATTTGGCGAGTGAACAAATGGACGGAAGACTTCTTTGTGTTTCTCCCTCTCTGTCTGTAACTCTTTTAAATAAATAAATAAATAAAATTTTTAAAAAAGTATTTTCCTTTAAGCATTCCCTAACTTACGTGACATATGGTCATTTTTGTTAATTCATAATACCTATTAACTTTAAAGAATTCTACTTATTGTTAAAAAAATGCTAGTTTAAAAAAACTTGTAGTTTGTACAAGCTAAGTTCAAATTAAGAGAATTTAAAATGTGTAACTACAATGAAAATGTTTATAACAGAGCTACCCTTTCTTTAACACCTACCTTGTATCAGATATCATACATTCTAACTTATCTGTATTATTTTTAATTCTCATTGGATTCTCTTATTACAGTCAATGGAAACTTCTCAAAAGTGGTAATGCAGTCGATCGAGGTCAATGAGTCTACTGATAAAGCTATAAAATAAACGCAGATCTGCCCGACATCGAAGTCCACACTCCGTCCTACACAGAACACTACCCAGCGTGTCACTGGCCTTTCACTACACTGCAGTTCAAACGCATGTTGTCAGCCAGCTGCAGAATCGTGCTTCTGACTTCCTGCCACGCTACAATCTAACCAACAGAAAAAAAGGTGGCTTTTGTGCCACATTCCCACTTGTTATGTGCTACATAAAACTGTGCAGAAGCTGAGAAAAGCAGAATCATGAACAAAGGGTGGAGAATCCTAGGTGGTCACCAAGTAGACACATGGAGTGGATTGCGAAAGAAAGGTTCTTCAGCCACCTCGGGTAGTCTCTGGGCCACCTACTTAAGAGTCCTTGTCTGAGAAAAAGTCACCAGACTCGCAAGCCGTCACTGGAGGACAGGGAAGCCCGCTGTCAATTATTACCACTGACCAGCCTGGCAGCAACATCTTATCTCCCGCTCATTCTGCCTGGAAAAGAGGATCGAGCCCACAACTCCAAGTTTATCCTATAACGTGTGATCCTATAACGTGTGATGACACCCCAGGTTTGCCGGGATCTCTGAGGATCTACTCCTAAGCCGGGCTCTTGGACGTTTCGGAATGAACTCGAACAGAAGTACAAACAGATGCTGAAATCCAAGTTCGATCCATAAAGGCGCTAGTCAAAATCTCAGCATTTACGGGATCATCGCTAACCCACACCCGGTATTACCCTCATGAGGATATAAAACATTTTTTTTTTTGCACAGTCCCATTTCGAGGAAGCAATACATATACTCTAATGCCTTCTTATTTCGTCACAGGAAAAAAAATAATAATAAATGGAGCGTGGGAAGAAAAAAGAAAAAAAACCAGGCGCGATTCGGCCCTGCCAGCTCTTCTCCACAACTTAGGTGCCCGCGGAGCGCCGCGCAGGAGCGGCGGCAAGCAAGCCCGGCTCGGAACGCGCGCGGCGGACGCGGGCAAACGTGCCGACTTACTCTGCACCTGCAGATCCATCTCGCGCATCTCCGTGAAGCGGTCCCGCAGGTCCATTGGAAGCTGCTCAATCACTGTCAAACAAGAGTCCGTCAGAAGGGCGGGGCCCACAGCGAGCGTACGCGCCTGCGTCACTGCGTGCGTGCGTGCGTGCGTCGGGGGGGGGTCGAGGGAGCGGGCAGCCCACAACGAGGCTGCCAGTTACCGTGAGAGAGAAACATCCCCCGCCTCCCCCTCCCTCCCGCCATCCCGCCTGCCCGTCCACTCGCGCTCTCGCCCGACCGCAGGTCCCACGGGCGGCCCCCGCCGGCGCCGCGCACTCACTTTCCAGATAGTCCTCTAGGTACAACATCGCGGCCCTTAGAGCTGGGGGAGCGAAGGGGTCCAGGGGTTTATTTGTGTCACTCGCTGTCGCCGGAGTTTTGTCCCTTCCAATATGGCGCCTCCGCTAGCAGCACCCGCTCGACTCCGGCGAAAAAAAAAAAAAACAAAAAAAAAAAAACCACTTTGGGCGCCTGACGGCGCTTGCCTCATTGCCGCCCGGCGCTGTCATTGGCTGGCTGCCGCAGTGACGTAGGCCGGCCAGGGCCTGCCCGAGCGCCTTTGTGGGAAGTGTAGTTTCTGTTCCTTCTGAGGCAGGGCGGCCGCGCCGCCCGTTCTCTGAGGGAAAACTACGGACACCAGGCGCCATTGCGAGCGGTGCGCGGAGGGCTCCGAAATGCGGTGCCTCTGTTTATTTGTTGATTTTGGCACAGGGGATGACGGGACTTGTATGCGCCGGCACCAGACAACTAGGAACAACTTTTCACCTGTTCTTTGCTGCGGTTCCATGCCCGGCGTTTGTGAGTCATGGGTTTCGCCTGGTGCTGGGCACACAAGCAGAGGTTCTAAACGCTAGCGTCATCAGCGAAGTTCGGGCGATTCCCATTGTTGCAGACAGAATTCGGTGCTTCAGTGTTGACCGCCGAAAATATAAGGGGGGAGGGAGGGACGTCTGCTTGACTCCATGTAGCCTTCAAATAGTTTATCAAACTGTGGCGTGTATGTGCACTCCCCGGATGAAAGGTGCTGGAATAGCCATCAGCGCCAGTTTAGACGAGAGTGGTTTGTTTCTGTTTTTTTTTTTTTTTTTTTTTTCGGTCCAGCTCATCGTCATTGTCATCCTCTTGTAATCTGTACATACAACCTGTACCTGCAGCAACAACCAAAAAAAAAAAAAAAACCTGAGCAGTCATAAGTAGCGGTGGAGCCTTGCTGTCTGATGAGCTGAACCAGCAATTTAGATTATGTTGAGTAAGTAGCATGTGTTAGAAGTCCTGGGCGTTGTCTTCCCCTACTTTTGGATTTCTCCCTGCCAATATTGACCGGTGATATATGTTAAGTTTGCATTGCTGAATTTATTTTAAAATGTTTTTCCTCAGAAGACTCTTACTCTAAGTGTTAGGTGGTGTTGTTTCCCATCTTTCTTAACTCTCTCCGTTTTTCAGGGAACAGTGTCGTCAGTGTGTGTTCTCCGTAGCCGCTTCTCTGCTCAGGGCTTTTCCACTGGTCTTAAGCAGGATGCTTGACTGTCCTGTTGATACATCTCAATGGAAACTTACCTGGTCCTATTAAGAATTAACGTAGTTAATTTTACACGCTTGAAGCTAAAATCTAGCACCTTCACTCTTCCTCCTTTCCACTTTCCCTCCCTTCCCTGCCCCTCTTTTCCATTTTCCCTCCTTCTGACTACTTTGAAAGATCTGCTTGATATTTTTGCAGATTCACTGGAATCTTCCTCTTCTCCCCCCTCCCACCCTACCTCTCTTCTTTCTTTCTACTTCCTCTCTTTCTTCAGCTTTAAAAAGCTTGCTTTAGGATTTAAGGGAATTCCTGAATGTCAGGATTGGTGTCCTGTAACAGTTCCAGGGAATTCTGAACGATTAGCTCTTCAGTGTTGCTTATTTCCCATTTTCTCCATTATCACTTAGAACATCTCTGAGACTTTTTCACTTTGTCCTTTGCCTTTCTTTAAATATTCTACCTCAAACATTTCAGATACTTGACAATTTTAAAAGTTCCATCGGATTCTCTTTTCAAGCCATTTTCCAGTTGTTGATAAAAATTAAACACGTATCTGCTCTATATTCTGTTTCTGTTAAATCCAGCATTGAAAATTTTATGGCTGTTTTGGGGCAATTGCTTCTTCAAAAACAGGCATGCTGCTCGTGGTGCCTGTTTCCTTGTGGGTTATGAATTTATGATTCTGGGGTTATAAATTTGAGGATTCTTTGAAACTGGAGTTAAAATTGAATTTCCTAGAGAATATTAGAATTCACTTCTGCAAGTTATTTGGAGACACCATCAACTCTAGGACCAGATTAAATTCTCCACTTGAGGCTTATTGTATTACACAGATTGGATTTAGTCTCTAACCCAAAGGGGAGAGTTTTTCTTTCTTTACTGGGCTCCAAGAACGAGACAAGCATATATTCTTTCTGGCCTCTCCTATGCATGAGCTTTATTTCTCATTCATCTTTCCATGAGAAATACCGTCCTTTGAGACTCCAGATTTTATCTCCCATAGGTTACTCTTTTTAGCAGATCCTTTTCTTTAATCATCTGATTCTGGCATGCTACACAGCTTTAAAAAAAAAAAAATAGGAGCTCCAGGTGTGTAGAATTTGACAGATAATCTCTGAACAAAAGTCTACCTTGGCCCTCATTTATTTCTCAGGATATGCCCAATTTCCTTCTTTCTTTTCTTTTCTCCCCAATTATCCTACCAATTCAATAATGTGCTGCTTAGCTGTTTTCAGCGGGTGGCTCACTCAGAAGCTAAAATGGCAAGCTGACAGAAATAGAAGTCCCTCATGTCAGTGTAAACAGCTTCTTGAGAAGTTTTCATAGTAAGGAAAATGAGATCATAGATGGTTCCCAATACAGTCAGTATACATGCACTTTCCAGAGAAATCAAACAAAAACTCACATATAAAATGTGTATTCTAGTTCATAAACATAATTCCTTGTTGGAACATGTATCTGCTGCAGAAAATTACATTTATTTACATACATGTGGGAGCTTCTTTTGTTATTGGATATCAAATACAGATACCACTTGGAGTGACCATCTACTCAAAAGCCTCTCTGGGCTTCTAAGCAGTACCTCTTAGAAGGTATTGTAGGGGTGATCACACATGAATTTCATTTCTGTCTTCCTGGTCATAGGTCATTAATTTATCAAGAATAGACCAAAGCTGAGGCTCTCAGATGCATCTTCTGGATTTGAAATTGGGAATGAAGGGACACAAAGACCAATGACGTTGTGGCATAATTGTATTAATTACACACAATAAATACATAATCTACCAGCTTCTGCTGCTGAGATTCCCTAGAAGAGCACTAGCATTTTCCTTGTCTTTTCCCCCCTTCTGTCACTTTCCTAGCACAAGTTGTAAACCTTGAGAAAGTAATTTTAACACTGTGTGTGTGTGTTTCCTGATCTGTAAATGGGAAATAGTTAAGTAGCTAAGTCATAGGAATCTTGGATTGAAATGCTATCTATGCAGAGCACTTAGATTAATGCAGGGGAATGTTATGATTCAGCTGCCGTCATAGTCCCCCCACTAAGTACCCATATTGCAGATACTCCTTTGTACTATTCTTAGTTCTGTGTTGTGTTCTTTTGAGGCTGGACACCATCAGAACTATAGGATCATCTCGCCTCCAGGTGTGATAACTGCTACTGTCATACGAAATTCAAGGGAGAAATGATTCAGGGAAGGCTACGAAAGTGTATTGCTCCGCAGAAGGAATTAGAATTTAGGAGGAGTGAGCATTGCCACTCAGCCACCATCTCAGGGTTTCAGAATCCTGGTTACTCCACTTCCCATCTGATCCTTGCTAATGCACCTGGGAAAGCTGCTGAAGATGGCCCAAGTGCTGGGGCCCCTGCCACCTATGTGAGGGACCCAAATGGAGTTTCAGATTGCTGGTTTTAGCCTTGCCCAGACCTGACTGTTATAGTCATTTGGAGCAAATCAGCAGATGGAAGTGTCTCTCTCTCCCTCTCGCTTACTCACTCTCTCTCCTCAGCCTTACAAATAAATACATACATCTTTAAAAAGAAATTAGGGCCATTTTGTGTGGAGACGAAGGCGGTACAGTTGTGGCCTTGTTACCTACCTCAAGCAGCGGTCGGCCTTTCCACATAGAACTCAGGAGTGGGAGGTTCAGAATCGAATCTCTTCTCCCTCCTCCTCCTGGTTACAAATCACTTGAAATTTATAAGTTAGTGGAACTTTGCTTGAGTGAGATTTTTTTGATCTTCAGCTACATTTTTTGGCTTTGTGAAGAACCTAGCATCAAACACAATGGCAAGCAATGTTACCAACAAGACAGATCCTCGCTCCATGAACTCCCGTGTATTCATTGGGAATCTCAACACTCCTGTGGTCAAGAAGTCTGTTGTAGAGGCAATCTTCTCGAAGTATGGCAAAATTGTGGCTGCTCTGTTCACAAGGGCTTTGCCTTTGTTCAGTACGTTAATGAGAGAAATGCCCGAGTTGCAGTAGCAGGAGAGGATGGCAGAATGCTTGCTGGCCAGGTTTTAGATAATCTGGCTGCAGAGCCAAAAGTGAACCGAGGAAAAGCAGGTGTGAAACGATCTGCAGCGGAGATGTACGGCTCCTCTTTTGACTTGGACTATGACTTTCAATGGGATTATTATGACAGGATGTACAGCTACCCAGCACGTGTTCCTCCTCCTCCTCCTGTTGCTCGGGCTGTAGTGCCCTCCAAACGCCAGCGTGTATCAGGAAACACCTCAAGAAGGGGAAAAAGTGGTTTCAATTCTAAGAGTGGACAGCGAGGATCTTCTTTCAAAGTCTGGAAAGTTGAAAGGAGATGACCTCCAGGCTATTAAGAAGTTGTTGACCCAGATAAAACAAAAAGTGGATTCTCTGCTGGAAAGCCTGGAAAAAATTGAAAAGGAGCAGAGCAAACAAGGAGTAGAGATGAAGAATGATAAGTCAGAAGAGGAGCAGAGCTGCAGCTCCCTGGAGAAAGATGAGACTAATGTGAAGATGGAGTCTTAGGGGTGTGCAGATGACTCTGCTGAGGAGGGGACCTACTGGATGATGATGATAATGAAGATGGGGGATGACCAGCTGGAGTTGACCAAGGATGATGAAAAAGAGGCTGAGGAAGGAGAGGATGACTCTTAAGCACATAGTGGGGTTTAGGAATCTTATCCCATTATTTCTTTACCTAGGCTAAGACAAAGGCTTACCTTTGTCTAAGATCAAAATTTTCACCAGATCCTCTCCCCTAGTATCTTCAGCACATGCTCACTGTTCGCCCCATCCTTGTCCTTCCCGTGTTCATTAATTCCTATTGCCCTGTGCCTAGTCCCATTTTCACTTTCTTTGATGCTCCTAGTAGTATTGTTAAGTCTTGCCCTGTAATTTTTGCTTTTAATTTTGATACCTCTTTATGACTTAACAATAAAAAGGATGTATGGTTTTTATCAGCTGTAAATAATCTCTTGTTAATGCAGGGAGTACAGTTCTTCCCATTCATGAGCTCAGTAGTTGCTTCCCTAACTGCAAAAGCCATCTCATTTAGTTGAGTAGCACCTGGGAGCAGCTTTGAGTTAGAAGTGTGTGCTATCCCACATACTAGTGCTGTGTGGGGCTGTTCAGCACAACTGTAACAATGTATTTTTGTGAATGAGAGTTGGCATGTCAAATGCATCCTCTAGAAAAAAAGTAGTGTAATAGTCTTAATATTGTTTTCTAAAGTTAATGCTGTGGGTTATTTTTGTGAACAGCCTGATGTTGGGACCTTTTTCTCAAAATAAGTCCTTATTAAACCAGAAAAAAAAATTAGGGGGAAATTTGAAAGTGAATATGAAATATGATTGTTTATGAGAGTTCAAGACAAAGAAAAATATAACTCCTTTGTCTAGAATGTCCTCAAAAGAACTCTTGATTGGTGCTTTAAATTTCTGTCACCTCATTGTCTTACAAAGTAAATGACCATCTTGAAATCTTTGGCAAAACTTTGAAGTAGAAATTTTGGTTTTGGTTTTTATTTTTTAACTTTGCACCCGGCAGTGTGTCCTGCCTGACATACCTTTGTAATATAAAAGGAAAGCATAATAAAATGCTGGATTTACATTAACCCTCCTAATTTTACATCTTAAAATCCATGGAGTCATTCACTGGATCAGTTATAAGGTGCATCAATAGGGTGATAGTCTTCCCTTTACACCAGTGTAGATGTTTTTGGCCTTTTCTCTGGCCCAGTACTCACTAGTGAGACCCCTCTAAGGAAAGTTCTATTTTCCTGGCTCCTGGGCTGGGGGGGTAGGGTGGAGATCAGTGCAGGGAGAGAGAAGAGAAGCCAATGATTTTGCAAAGGGGATTGCTCTGTATGTGTTCTGAAGATCGGAAAGAAGATACTGAGATAGATGATGGATTACTGGATATGAAGCTGTCACAAAACCTCTCCCCAAAAAACAAATAGAAATTCTGAATAAAATTGCTTAAAACACTTTGACTATGACCTTGTCTAAACAAGATAAGAGTCGGAGAACTCAAGGGGCTTCCATAGCCTTGGAAACTCATGACCGGTGCATAGGGAGATTACTGATGCCATAGACAGGAGTGTCAATTGGTAAAGTCAACAACAGGAGTCACTGTGCACTTACTCCTCATATAGGATCTCTGTCCTTAATGTGCTGTGCATTGAGATTTAATGCTATAACGAGTACTCAAACAATATATTTCACTTTGTGTTTCTATGGGGGTGCAAACTGTTGAAATCTTTACTTAATGCATACTAAACTGATCTTCTGTAAAAAAAAAAAAAAAAAGAAATTATCAACTCCCAACTTGACTCTCACTGGGATTAAACATGACAATAGGTCTGATCTGATTTCATCATCATTTAAAAAAAATCATCTATTATTTTTCACTTTATGTTTCTGTGTGGGAGCAAACTGTTGAAATCCTTACTGAATGTATACTAAGCTGATCTTCTGTATATTAAGATAATCGAAAATGAATCTTGATGTGAATGGAAGGGGAGAGGGAGTGGGAAAGGGGAGGGTTGTGGGTGGGAGGGACAGTATGGGGGGGAAGCCATTGTAATCCATAAGTCATACTTTGGAAATTTATATTCATTAAATAAAAGTTAAAAAAAAAAAAGGAAAAAAAATTGCTTAAAACTGGGGCCAGCACTGTGGCGCAGTGGGTAGAGTCAGTGCTATGTGCCAGCATCCTAAGTGGGTGCCGGTTTAAGTCCTGGCTGCTCCACTTCTGATCCAGCTCTCTGCTATGGTCTAGGAAAGCAGTAAAAGATGGTCCAGGTCCTTGGGCCCCTGCACCTGTGTGGGGGACCCGGAGGAAGCTCTTGGCTCCTGGCTCCTGGCTCCTGGCTTTGGATCAGTGCATCTCCAGACATTGTGGCCATTTGGGGAGTGAGCCAGCAGATGGAGGACCTCTCTCTCTCTGTCTCTGCCTCTCTCTAACTCAGCCTTTCAAATAAATAAGTAAATCTTTTTTTAAAATTTGATTTAAACTAAGGTAACCAAATCCCCAAGTGCCAGAGATGAAGAATAAGCTCAGTTTTGGAGTAGTGAACAAAAGCTGAAGCTGAAAAAACAGACATTTATAGGCCTTCATTGTTGGAGCTTGGGTTTCTGACAGTGTAGAGTGAAAAATCTTGCAAGCCTTACATCCTGTGCTCCCTTATTTAGAGCTGAAGCTAACCTTCTTGCAGATAGCCTGTATTCATAAAGAGCTGCTGCTTCTTATAAACTTTCTGGGGAAACAACCAAGAGCTGGCCATCCCTCCATCCGAGGTCATGGGTGAAAAACCAACCCAGAGGAAGTTAGGCTTCCAGACCTGAGCCACCCGTAGAGGTGGAACCCTAATTCAACCTCACAAGGTAGAAAGACTCTTGACCAAGGTAGTGAAAACCCACCTGGTCTGGTATACCATGTGGGAGCCCACACAAAGAAAAATACAATAATACCTCATGCTCAGACATCAAGAAGAATAACTTCTGTTGACAAGCTCACATGCAAATGTTACGAATCACTGAAAGAAATGAACGCTCCTAGAGACTGTTAGAAGATAGAATAAACAAGAAATTTTAAGTATTAGAAGTACTGATTGGTAAAATCAAACCATAAAGAACAAACAAGAAAAAATAGAAAAGATGTGAAAATTGGATATTCTTTTTGGATGTTCCAATACCTGATTAATAGCAGTTCCTAGGAGAGCAAACAATAAAATTGAGATGCAAAAGAGTACTTATTCCATAATGACATTTAGGTGAACTTTCTGTAAAGGTAAATCTATGATAATAGAAATAGGAGAGTAACTATCTGGGGAAGATGAGTGATTGGCTAATCTTGGAACCCTTTGCTCTCAGGTATTGTTTTCTTAGACACTGCTTGTTACTGGCCTGAAGTTCATATGTGCTACATGAATAAATGAAAATGGTAGTAGGTGGTTATGGGCTTCTGAATCTGACAGACCTGAGTTTTAATCCTGTTATTTATTCATATAATGGGAGCCAAGTCAGGTCCTAAAGATTTTTTTTTTCCATCTGAAAGGAAGGTGAGGAAGGGCACTTATGCTGTAGAGTTGGTGTTGGAACTCAAAAGAGATAATGTTTCAGAGTACATAACAGTATCTGGCATGTAAACATAATTGCAAAAAATATTATTTGTAAAATTAACGTTAAGTTCCATATCAAGAGTATTTCAGTAGAAGCAGTCATCAGAGAAGGCAAATAAAGGGATGTGTTCTCCACAGAGTACTTGAAAACAATAATAAAAGTAGCATTTAGAGTATCTTTTTTTTTTAGCACTGCATGCCAGCAGTTTTGAACAATGACAGTGATCACATAATTCTGAAAAAAACACTTCCTTAGTCTGAGTTCTACACAATCACTGCAATTTTGGTTGAATGTTAGTAACTGTGACAATATATATTCCTGTTAAATAGTGACTAGAAATAAAATTGAAAACAGAACTTGAGCTTTTTATTATATCATTCTATATGATCACTTTAAGTTTTTATTTGTATTTTAAATTTACTATAGTGGAAAGTGTGGCGAACATCTGGCCTGATGGTCAAGACACTCGTTAGGATTCCATCTTCCATCTGGGAGCCAGCAATGAATGATAGCTGAAGTTGTTGGATTCCTACTACCCAGGTAGGAGAACTAGATTGAGTTTCAACTCACCAGCCATTACATTATCAGCATTTGGGAGGTAGAATAGTGGATGAGATCTTGCTCTCTATCTCAAATAAAAATTTTAAAAATATTTTAATAAAGTAAAATGTTGAAACTATGAACTATTGTATGTAATATTTTTGCTTATTATACATGAGACCTATTACTGATTAATATCTTGACAATTGAAATGTATTGTTTTGAAATTCTTAGCAATTGTAACCTAATTGGTATAGAATTTTAATATTGTATTTATCTTTTCACTCATATGTAGAAGCTGAAACAACGTGATCTCACAGTAGCAGAGACTAGAATAGTGGTCCCCAGAGGCCAGGAAAGGTAGGGACAGAGAGGTAGATAGAGGTTGAATAATGAGTATCAAAATGCCATTAGAGAAAAATATTTTGGTGCTCTGTAATACAGTAGGGTGACTATAGTTTTTAACTACTTGTGTAAGTCTCAAAAAATCTAGGAGAGAAGTTCAAAGGTTTGTTTTTTTTTAATTTTTTTTTTTTTGACAGGCAGAGTTAGACTGTGAGAGAGAGACAGAGAGACAGAGAGAAAGGTCTTCCTTCTGATGGTTCACCCCCAAATGGCCGCTAAGGCCAGCACTGCGCCAATCCGAAGCCAGGAGCCAGGTGCTTCCTCCTGGTCTCCCATGCGGGTGCAGGGCCCAAGCACTTGGGCCATCCTCCACTGCCTTTCTGGGCCACAGCAGAGAGCTGGACTGGAAGAGGAGCAACCGGGACAGAATCCGGTGCCCCAACCGGGACTAGAATCCAGGGTGCCAGTGCCGCAGGTGGAAGATTAGCCTAGTGAACCGTGGCACCGGCAATTTGAAGGTTTTTAACAACAAAGAATTGTTAATTACCTTGATTTGATTATTACTTATTGTATATGTGTCTCAGATTTATCACATTGTACCCCAAACATGTGTGCTTGTCAGTTTCCAAAAAATGCCTAAATGTAATTGAAAAGATTAACACATACTCTTCTCCCTTTTCTTCACTGCTAGTTAATTATTCATCACAAACATGGTGATATCATGATTTAAAAGGAAAAATGTATACTGTCTGAATTTCTATTCTGTGCATAATCATTATATATTTAATTTCACCATTATTTTTGAAAATAATTTCCGGTGTAGAGAAGGGACATATTAAAATTATCTGTTCTGGGTGTCAAAAAATGCTAAGTACATATATGTAAATACTTCTGACAAGAAGCAAGTGAGATTTATTTATATACAATGGCATAATTTTAACTTTTTCTCTGCGTTTAATTTTTCAAGTTTTAGGTTTTCTCTAGCATTCATTTTAGAGAAACTGGTAATGTAAAGATATATTACCAAGCATTCTATCTTTGAGAAGAAATATGAAAATATTTCAGTGTCTCTGAAGATGTTTAACACTGCTGTAAACCTTCCAAATATTCTACTTTTCCTTATGTTCTCTACTTTATCACACAGGTGCTGTGTGTTATTGACAAGAAGTGGTGTTTGGAAGATTCAAGATTTTTTCTAATCTTTATTTTTACCTTGTTTTAATATGAATCCAGTTGATTTAGAAGCTTGGGGAACTTTATTTTGGTAGTAAGGAAAAAATTTTTTTGTAAAGTTGGTTAGTGTAGTCTTATTATTGAGGAAGTACCATGTGGAAGGATGACAATATAGTGCTTTTTTATACTCTGGCCATAAATTTCTTATGAGGCTTACAACATTGTGGTGTAGAGCCAGCCACACTCACTAATTTGGAATTCCTCAAGGGCAGAGGCCATGTTTTATTCATTTGTTGATCCACAGATCTGGCAGGTAATATGAGTTCAATAAAGATGTGATGAATTATTGAATGACCAAATGCATGAGCCTTAAGCACAGGTTCGTAAGTTTCTAAGTTCAGACTAGAGAGGGCAACATGAAGTTGTCATGATTGTTAACTACCAAGCTCTGTGAAGAAAATAGGATTCCAGTGACCATCCAAGTAACTGGACTGGAATGGTGAAGAATTTTCTAAATAGAAGGCTTTGAAGAATTCTCCAGTACAGGAGTAGGTCCATCTTCATAATGGTTTCTAATTAAAAGTTTTACAGAGGAACAACGAACATAATATGGTAACACACGATGCTCTATATTTTAAAAAAAATCCTTTGAAGTTCTAAATATTAACCTAGAATGATAAATAAGACTTTTAGGGAACACAAGAAAGAATATTGCTACAATTTATTTCAGAGGTTATGGAACGACAAATACCACTGACAGTTCCTGTGCTTGCAGAATGTGCAGTTTGATAAGAGAAGCAGAATTTTAAGGAAACGTAATGTGATCGGTGTGATAATGTGGTTAAATTTTGATTATTCATTAAGAGGAATTCACAAAAATTCTATTGAGATATGGTGGTTTCCCTGATAAATAATGAACACACCATTTCAACAACAGGATTAAGTGCAAGAGACCAGTATAAAGATACAGTTAGGAATGGAATCAAATACTTTGCTGTTATTCTTGTTTTTCTATTAACATCTACAGTTTTATATCACTTAAAGTCAGGATACATTGTGAGAAATGTGTCATTAGGCATTTTCATCTAACATCATGAAGTAAGAAAAAAGCATAAAGGAAAGACTTATTTGCAAAGTCAAATCCTGGACCATAGGGCAACATTAAAATGCTAAGTTAAGATCAGCTAAGGTAACAACAAAACATAGTTCAGGTTTGGGAACTAACTAAAAGTAGAGAGAGGAGACCATTCCAGATGCCAAGCCAAGTCCTGCTTCTGTGCATACCCTGCAACAATTGCACAATGACGACATTAAGAGGAATAGATCCCTCTTGTGTCCTGTTACCACCTGAGTTACTTCATCATGCTAGCCAACCCGGCAGAGTGTGTTTTTAGGACTAAACTGATTCGAAGTGGATCCATAGGAACAAGTAACACGGCTGAAAGGCTAGGGCCTTGATTCACAATGAAACCACATCATGTCTGTGATTGCTTACCTGTAGCCCAGTGATTCTCAGCCAGAAGTGATTTTGTCCCTAGGTAGACATGTGCAGTATCTGGAGATTTTTCACTGTCATGTTTGCAGAAGTACCACATGTCTATCAGGTAGGGGCCAGGGATGCTGCTAAATGTCCTACAGTATACTGTATAGCTACCTACAGCAAACAGTTATCAGGTCCACAATGTCTATAATGGCAAGTCTGAGAAACCCTGCTGGAAACAGCTGTTGTAGCTGGCGAGTACCCAACACTCTTGGGACTATGTTCCATGCCTTTTAGTACCATAGTCATTTCCTTAACCAAATAATGTAGGTTGGAGAAAATCGTACAGTAGAGGGCAGTGATAAACAAAATTTTCTGTTATATTATCATTTGTCCTCTGTGGGGAGCAACCCGGACTAGACTGTTACTCGAATTAAGACTTATTCTATGCATCTGCTCTCCCACAATATGGCGCTGGGAGAGGAGAGAACAGCTTCTGCCCAGCTGCCTCCAGTTCAACCAATAAACAGCAGGACCTGCTCCTGATTGGAGGAGAGCAGCGTACTTGGCGTGTGGGCAGCCGAGTTGGGATTGGCAGAGGAGGACTATAAAGGAGGAGAGAGACGGCATGCACCAGGAACATCTAAGGGGAACATCTAAGGGGAACACCTGTGCAGCCCCCCAGAGAACCGGCCGGCGGTGTGCCGCTCCCCTGCGGAAGTGGGGAATGTGGCAGGGGGAACCGCCCTTCCACGGAGGTGGAAGGGACGGCAGCCAACCCGGGAAGAACCAGCAGCAAACCCGGGGAGGGCCGAGCAGATGAAAGAACAGCGCAGGGTTCAGTGTTGCTCCTCCACGAAGAGGGGGAGCGACATAATGGTGCTGTGACTCGGATATGAAGCCTAGGCAGGGTTTAGTGTCGTTCCTCCATGAAGAGGGGGAGCGACATAATGGTGCCGTGACTCGGATATGAAGCCTAGGCAGGGTTTAGTGTCGTTCCTCCACGAAGACGGGGAGCGACATAATGGTGCCGTGACTCGGATATGAAGCCTAGGCAGGGTTTGGTGTCGTTCCTCCACGAAGAGGGGGAGCGACATAATGGTGCTGTGACTCGGATAGGAAACTTAGGAGGGAAGAAATGGGAAAATACCGGAGAGAGAGACTAGCAAAGAGCCTAGGTGCTGGAAGAAGCTATTGAAAGCCTAGGCATAGACTTGGATATGGACTGTGGGAAAGAAGTTAGGATTGAAAGCGAAAGTGAAAGCTTTCATAGACTCGGATGCGGACTATGGCGGGGAAGCTAGGAGATTGAAAGCGAAAGTGAAACCTGGAGGAGGCTTGGACTCGGATATGGACTGTGGGAAAGAAGTTAGGATTTAAAGTGAAAGCAAGAAGAAACTTAGACTCAGATACGGACTGCAGGTTGAAAGTGAAAGTGAAACCTATAAGAAACTTAGACTTGGATACAGACTGTGGGGAGAGGCTAGGAGAAATGAGGGAGGAATATTGTTGGAAGAAAACTTAGGGAAACATACCGGGTAGAGAAAAATGTTAGGGAGGATGAAGCTGCGAGTGCAGGCCAAGCCATCTTGGAATTCTTCAAGTCAGCCCGGGGAGCAAGAGGTGAAGATCTGGAACCAGAGGCAGAGACGTGGGCCGCCAGGTTGGAATTCGCCAGGTTAGTCCGGGGAACTTGGACTGAATGCCGGTGGTGGCGGAAACATTCGCGGAAGCCGCCGCGTGCAGAGAGAGCACGGGGCGTGAATAGATAGGGAACGCGGGGCTGGCGCGAGGCCGTGGTGCGGGCGCGAAGTGCGTGGAGACCGCGGAGCGTGCATGCAGAGCCGGGAACCCGCCGGCGGGGCGAGGCGCCGGGAAGCCGCGCAGAGCCGTGAAGCTGCCGCGGGGCGAGGTGCCGAGAAGCAGCCTCGGGGCGGGTGCCGCCGGGAAGCCGCAGGGATAAGAGAAACAGAAGTTTAGAAGTAAAATGAGAGAAATAGGAATGCTGGAAGATAGAAGTAAAATGGGAGAAATAGGAATGCCCGGAGATAGAGAAGTAGAGAAATAGAAAGGCCTCCCCACAACACTGCAATGAGAAGGCTTGGATTCGGTCTGCCTGATTAGTGAGGCGATGAGCACCTGCGGGCGGCTAGCAGCTTATGCGCCGCAGGTCACCGAAAACAGGCACGTTATCAACACCAATAAGTCACCCCACAACATGGCAATGAGAGAGCTTGGATTCGGTCTGCCTGATTAGGGCGATAAGCACCAGCAGGCAGCTCGACCAGAGTATGAGCTGCAGGTCACCGAAGATAGGCACGAACCAACACTAATAAGTCTCCCCCACAATACGGCAATGAGAAGGCTTGGATTCGGTTTGCCTGATTGTTAGGGCTTGTAAGCCCCTGCAGGCAGAGCAGAGCATGCGCTGCAGGGCACCAAACACAGGCACGCATCAGCGCCTAAAAACCTCCTCACAACATGGCGAAGAGAGGACCCGGATTCGGTTTGCCTGATTGATAGGACTTGTAAGAACCTGTGGCAACTCTAGCAAGCAGAGCAGAGTGTGTGCCACGGGGCACCGAAGACAGGCGCGTATCAACGCCAAAAAATAAAAAGAAAGGGGGATCTGTGGGGAGCAACCCGGACTAGACTGTTACTCGAATTAAGACTTATTCTATGCATCTGCTCTCCCACAATATGGCGCTGGGAGAGGAGAGAACAGCTTCTGCCCAGCTGCCTCCAGTTCAACCAATAAACAGCAGGACCTGCTCCTGATTGGAGGAGAGCAGCGTACTTGGCGTGTGGGCAGCCGAGTTGGGATTGGCAGAGGAGGACTATAAAGGAGGAGAGAGACGGCATGCACCAGGAACATCTAAGGGGAACATCTAAGGGGAACACCTGTGCAGCCCCCCAGAGAACCGGCCGGCGGTGTGCCGCTCCCCTGCGGAAGTGGGGAATGTGGCAGGGGGAACCGCCCTTCCACGGAGGTGGAAGGGACGGCAGCCAACCCGGGAAGAACCAGCAGCAAACCCGGGGAGGGCCGAGCAGACGAAAGAACAGCGCAGGGTCCTGTGTTGCTCCTCCATGAAGAGGGGGAGCGACAGTCCTCCATAATTTTCTTCCTTTTTCTACTTCTCTGATCCTAAAACAAAAATAATGAGAGAACCAAAACAATAAAATCAGAGGTAACAATTTTGTAATTTTTTGAAGAAAAACTACAATTTTATGCAAGGGTGCACTGAAGATTTTAGAAGAGACATTCTACATATGAAGGAACCCTGGTTTGTTTTATCTTCATAGTGCTTACCTCACACACTGACATTTGCAACTTTTTACTCAGAAAACACTATTGGTATCTAAATACCAAGAAAAGGAAATATATCACATAATACTAATATATAATGGATGATACTTTTATTGGTAGCCTATTCTAGTTTTTAATAAGTCTTATTTTGGAGAACTGTGGAATTAGTCACTCTACTATAAGCATATGTTATTTTTTAGTTCATGTAATACAGAAATACCTTCTTGAGAAGTTAAAACAGTAAATTTATACATTTCTTAAATTGTTAACTTTGGATAAGATGTATTACTTCTGCAGTACAGAAAATGAGAATATAGAATATTTATACTTCCTCTTTGCTTTCATGGTTTCACACATAATTGTTATTTCATTGGTTAACTTTTTAACATTAATAGTACACTGAAGCATATGACTTTAACTCTAACAATAACCTTAACACCATCATCTTGAAACAGCATCCCTCAACTCCTTCCTTGGAGGTGAAATTACTAGAATGGTTAACTTTCTATCTTACGACTTCCCCTGCAATTTCTTACTTCCTGCAGCTGTACTTTCACATT